ATTATGGTTCTGGGAAAGATCTTAATTCATATACGTGAACATTTTAATTCTGTATAACTTAAGGAAAGTTCTTGTTCTGATGAATATTTTAATTCACATCAGTAGTTGAAGGAATTGAAACATGTCTAGCCTTGGAACATAACAAATAATAGTGATACTAAACATTACAATGCAAGACATGTCAAAGAAGTTTGAATTCAAAGAAATGTGAAATGCAATGAAATATTTGCAGTACTGCAACTGGTTTTACAGTAATTTCAAAAGTGAAATTTTAAGTATAAAAATGTAATGATTATAAGTATTTACAACCCTCATTTTTTTAAGAATACTTTTGAGGAATTTTCTTTTAATATAGCAACAACATAATTTACAGGATAGTTATCCTACATTTTACATGCAAAACGTTTAACCAAAACCAACGAATCTATGATTTATACAAGTTATAAAGTACAAGAAAAAGTAAAGTTTTTAAAGTATCCATTCATTGTTGAATGACTTGCGTAGCAGTAATTAATATTTTTGTATTTGGCGGATATTTTGGTGGATGACAGTTGATGCTTTTGGATGGGGCACAATATATTAGTGCTTTTTTCTTGTTTTTGCTTTTAACCATTTTACATGAATGTAATGGATATGTTCTATTCCAGCACAATCTATAGTCTTTTCAGCTCAGTTGCTGTTAATTGATCAGATGGGGAAACATTTGAGCTCCCTGGTAAAAGGAATGCATACATTTCAGGTGCATTCGCAACGCTTTACTGATCATTTTCAATGATAACTTTTAATAAAAGACCTTCTAGATGAAACTCATGAAAAAAACATGTATTTATATTTCACATAGGGACGTTTGGTCTGTGTCACATCGCCAAGTTTGTGTGCACAAGCCAAACTTAGAAATCAAAAATGGTTTAAGTTAGGAACAAAAGATGTTTTGCAGTTTGCAGTGACTTCATGTTCATAGGCTATGAAGTAGATGGAGCTCCTTTGTTTTTTTTAGGCAATAGTTTTTATTAAGGGTTTTCTTAAGAATTTTCACGGTTAACAATGCAATGCCATTTCAGGAGTAACAGTCGAGAGAGAGAAAAAGAGTTCAGAACAAGAGATTTCGAAACCTTATAACAGTACAGAGCATACTATACGAATGCACAGGTCAACAACATATAAAGAATCCCTAGAGCCCAAATAAGCACAGGAAAGTGAGCCCTGGGTGGCTAGGTATAGTAAGGGTATTATATTAAGCAGGTGGATAGCTTCATAGCAACACATCTGTAACATTAGATTGCAGATCTGTAAAGATGTGTAAAGAAGAACTACCCCTGCACTGCAAGGGTTAACTGCTAATTTTTGTCCAGTTGAAAAAAAAAAAAGTTGTAAAGTTGTATTCACCCAAACCACCGAGACGGCTGCCTGTTTCTCCAGTCACTGAAGCCTCTCTCCTCCTACACTGCGGCATTGAAATGTTCCTCAGTGCCCTCACATCTATACACTGTGTATAGAACATGATGATTTACAGGACCTTAGACTGCTGCTGCAGAGGGGGAGAGAGGCTCCAGGGACTGGTCTAAAAGCAAGGCGGCTTGGAGGATTGGGTGAGTATAACATTTGCTTTTTAACCTATAAAAAAAATGAGCAGATAACCCTTGCAGTGCAGTAGCAGCCCCACTGCAAGGGTTAATAAAAATTCTGCTTTAATGGTTGTCATTCTAGATGTGATATCTTCCTGTCTGTTGTCATCCTTTGATCAATATGATTAGGCTAAATTAAGACTGTGATGGGTTACTATGAAATATCATTAACTACTGCTCTTTGTACCATGTTATTAAATAAAGCACAATAATTTGTTTCTTTTTTAATCTAAAGCTGATTTTTTTTATTGTTGGCAGTGCAGGGACAAATGTTGAAAATTAGTTTTTTACATCAGTCAGTCTGTATTAATATTGATATTAAAGGAGATCTATGAGGTCAGTGATTTACACTCATCCTCATAGTTATAGCCGACCTGTGACAAAGAAACTGTCACAGGTCGTCTCTATCGATTGGGAAGTGAGCAGAAACATGCAGCCGATCCGCTTACATCCCGATCTTCTCCCTGCAGTGAGCGGTGACTGTCAGTCCCCGCTCCCCACAAGAATTCCCCCCTCCCCTCACCGATCCTCCAGCGCTGAGTGGGCGGGCACAGCTGGCTCTGCCTCTAGATAGGCAGAGCCAGCTGTCACTCACGCAGCTGGGTGGATCTCGACAGCATTGTTGGGATCCGTCCTAGCTGCAGTGCTTTCAGTATATCGGGGGCAATAGCTGAGCTTTGGGAGGAGGTTAGTATATGTCCTCCTATGACCCTAAAGAGAACTATGGGGAAAAACACTTACCCCATAGTTTTCTTTTAATCAACATTTGAGACACTCCTGGCTGGTGTCTTATATCTTCACACCTTTTTATGCTAATTCAAAAATGAGGAAACAATTCACTGCGTGGGTGATTTCAATGTCGCCTTCAGAATGACCTCTGTTATAACCAAAGAGGGGTAGTACACTGTACACATCCTATCACTAAAGGGAGGACAGGGAGGGAAGGCATTGGCTCAGTCTCTATTCTTACTTGTTGGGGTGCTAGCCAATGCAATAGTGGTTCCTCAGAAGCAGGTACTTAAGGTACAGGTCTACTGTGCTTGTACATGAACTTGGCCATAAAGAACTATAGTATTATACTGGCCATAATAATTTAAGATAATATTTGGCCAATTGGCACAATTTTACAGTGTTTACAGTAAAAAAAAAGTGCCACATTGATAATTATCCCATAAAACTAAAGGGAAAGTTTTTGGATTAGCTGAAAAAGGCATTCACACTTGACTGCTGATACTGAAAGTTTTATGTTCAATTGTCTTTCAGCCTTGCAAACACACTACAATGATTACCATGTCCTTTGGATCTAGAATACATAGGGGTTAATTTACTAAAGGAGTGGAGCATGTTCACTTTGCAAGGTCATTTTCGCTTAAACCTAATGAATGTGCTGACTACCATCATTCAATCATGTGTGAGCAAAAATCTTTTTTTTTTTAATTTACATTTTCCATGCATGTAATTGGGAATGCTTTAAATGTGATTTTTCACTGTATTTACTAAGCTAAGTAAAAATTCCAATGTAAAATTCTCTTGCAAGGTAAACATGCTTTATCGTTTAGTAAGTTAACCCCATGGTTTCAACCAGTTCTAAAGGTTGACTGAAGAGAGACACGGCAAGGTGCAGTACTTTGTATCTCATTTCACACATTAGTGTTCTATAACCCCAAGCAACCTTGTAAATCATACAGATCCCCCTTTATATCATGTTGCAATTTCATATTTCTCTAAAAAAATGTGAGGTTGCATGATAAGACATTAAAAAAACTTTATAATCTGCATTTACCAATCTGTGCTGTTACACCTGTACAGAATTTACAAGTATCCAGAGATGCATATTATTTACACAGGCTAACCTCTTAGTTGAATATGTTACTGCCACAGAATCCCGTGCCCACAAATGTTCCGGTTTACTTTTTTTTTTGCCTTTGCGATCAGTTTGCTGGGAAAATGTTCTGTAGTCTCCAAGGGAGCTGTAGTGTGTGTTTATAGTTGAATCTTTTAAAGTATTTTTTAGGAAGGTTAATGAAATGATTTTTCAACAGAATTTCAATCAGAGTTCTGAGAAAAATAAAAAAGACACTATAAAAATGATTTTTACAGAAGATCAAACTTCTCAATCAAAGCTGAGAGGTTTTTGCACTGCTTAAATCATATGTGTCCCAGATAAAAGGCATAATCTGGAAGCCGTGCCATCAGTAGGCACATAGGGCCTGATTTCTGATTTGCTAACTAATGAAAAGAGGCGGAAAAAAATCAATCATACAGTGATGTTCACAGCAATTTATATTAAAAAATAAAGTCTTCTGTGTTTGATTGGGTGAACGCAGGTGTACTTCTCTTAACCATATTTTGCACTCTATTAAGTCAGAGAATGTTTTATGTTAACAGCTATAAATACATGTAGGCAGCTGAAGACAGAGCACACTGACAGCGATGGCAAATATTTATCACTGGGCATAATGGCCACCTAAAAAGCTCTAACTGAGAAAAGGAGACAATATGTGTAAATAAATATAATTTATGAAGAGTATCATCTCATTTTTCTTATCTATATTAAAAGAGAGGCATTAAAAGACCAACATATACTCTTCCCAATACTTAGAGCTGGCTTCAGACACTGCAGCTGTCACATGATCATGTAAACCTCTGATTGCTGAGCTCATGGTCTTCTCCCTGCAGGGAACAGTGAATGCCAGTCCCCCCTCCCTCCCCTATCTCTGTTCCTTCAGTGCTCATTGGAAAGACAGACACGGGAGGGGGTGGGCATAGATGGTTCTGGCTCTAGAAATGCAGAGCCAACTGTCAATTAGGCAATGGGGTGGAGCCCAACAATATTGTCAGGATCCTTTCCGCCTGCAGCGCAGCTTGGTGTTGTCAGCATTTAGTGAGCAGTAACGTTTACATTAGTGTGACCCAAAACATAAGTAAAGCCAAAAAAAGGTTTGGCTTTACTTCTCTTTTAAAAATAACATGTAGTGTTTTTTTCTCATTAGTCTTTATAGTCAGGATGACAATTAAAAACATATTTTTAGTCAGGTAAACATTAAATATTAAATATGAATATTTAGCATTTATATATTCAGTCAGCTATGGAGCTTTCAGCTTTTTATCCATGTTTTTCCGGGTCTCCTTACCTTCTCTGTAGAAAGGGCCTGTTGCTTACTCAGCTAAGTACTTACATTTACATACACAACTAACTGAGTCAGATTCCAGGTTTTAATCAAAGAGAGTGAGGAAATGTCCTTTGCAAACCCATAGTGCTGCAAGAATCATATGTCAAGGGTGTATCGTGTATTAGAAAAAAGGTTTATAAATATTAAAAACACATAAGAACAGTTTAAAATTACCTAGAATCATTTTAGTCTTCCTTTAACCTATTTGTCAGTTGGATTAAAACGCTTTAAACTGAGACCTGCAGCAAGATCCAGCAGGATCTAGGCTAATTCATTTGAAGGTAGCTACCATGAACTGATATACTTTCACTAAATAGTCATGTTGTAGAGTCTGCCCAAAATGTATTTTTCTTTATTTACACGGATTTAGAAATACTTATAATGCGACTCAAAATCAATAAACATATAAAATAAATGTTTTTATTGTCACATCTAGCATTTTTTAATAGTTCTAAAATATAAAAGTCTCTTTTAATGAAGTGTTCTAGTGTTTTAGTGTTCTTCCTAAATTGAAGAAGATGAAATATAGCATTACAAGCATGCGACATTGTGTATGGGATTACTGGGTCACCACGTGTAATTGCTGAGTTCCATTAAAGAGAATACACTAATTAAATTGAAGCTTATTAGAAAGATTCTGGGCCTAAGTCAAAGAGATCAGTTATAGGACAGAAGATAATATTTAATGAGAATGCAAAATCTCATCCACCATAGAAGGACCAACATTATTAACAGTTTAAGAGTATACCAGTTCCATTAGTTACCCCATTTTGCTGACTCCATTTGAAAGGCACTCATTAAGGATTTAGAAATTAATGACATGTAGGCATTTTGCAGTGAAAATTGATTTGGTTCAAAGAATTTCGACTTTGATCTGTCACTGCTTATTTGTTAATGCACAGTTTTTCCAAGACCATACTACCACAAAAATTAGAGTCAGTGGGAACATATGAAAGAAGAAAAGCTCTGAATCTTAGTATTTAGGAATCCATGATATTAACTTCTTTGGTACAACCAGACAGGTTATGATGGGGGCTGGACCCAAAAGGAAACAAAAGCCAACCAAGGAACCAGTACAAAGCTCAAAAGGGCTTCTTGAAACACAAGGGGGTTGATTTACTAAAGGCATATACACTTTGCTAATTTTCCCCCTAGCTCAGTGAATGAGGTGAAGCTCTGCTGACTTAATTAAAAAATATTGTGTTTATTTTCCTTGCATGTGATTGGGTATTCTGTGCAAACTGAATTTTCACCACATTCTACAGGAAAATTCCCTTGCAAAGTTAACAGACTATTTGCCTTTAGAGAATCAACACCAAGGTGTCCACATGTCTTCCATCACAAATCCCGAAAATAAGAGTTTATCTTTGGGCAGTTTTGGAAGTTTATGGTAGAGCCATGCAAACCATTACTTATTTATACATATACAAGGACTATGTATACAAGTACTATTTATACATAAAAGTCTGGCAAAGTCTGAGTTTAGTGTTTTCTGCTGGATAGCATGAGAAGATCACATATTCATTTTGCTTAGCTGGAATTTTTCATTAAAGCAAATCTGTTCATTCAACAACAAAAAATGCTTTCAGGTAAAAGTGCATGCACATAGGGGTACCTGCACAGACCTGCAACAGCCTCCAAGCTCTAAAGTTACACCCAAATGCTGGTCCTTTATGGCCCATTACACTGGTGTGCCTCCTGGCCTCTTCAAGGGCGCCTAAAAATTATGTGGTAGTGGAACTGTGATGTGAAGAGGGGATGAAGACTGATGTTAAAGGGGCTCCTGATGTAAGAGGAGAACTCTGATGTGAAAGGAGGGAGTGATCTGATATGAAAGTGGGGCTTCTGATGCGGAAGGGGGGTTCCTGATATGTAGGGGAACTACTGATGCAAAGAGAGACTGAAGTGGGGGATTAATAGTTCTAAAATATAAAAGTCTCTTTTAATGAAGTGTTCTAGTGTTTTAGTGTTCTTCCTAAATTGAAGAAGATGAAATATAGCATTACAAGCATGCGACATTGTGTATGGGATTACTGGGTCACCACGTGTAATTGCTGAGTTCCATTAAAGAGAATACACTAATTAAATTGAAGCTTATTAGAAAGATTCTGGGCCTAAGTCAAAGAGATCAGTTATAGGACAGAAGATAATATTTAATGAGAATGCAAAATCTCATCCACCATAGAAGGACCAACATTATTAACAGTTTAAGAGTATACCAGTTCCATTAGTTACCCCATTTTGCTGACTCCATTTGAAAGGCACTCATTAAGGATTTAGAAATTAATGACATGTAGGCATTTTGCAGTGAAAATTGATTTGGTTCAAAGAATTTCGACTTTGATCTGTCACTGCTTATTTGTTAATGCACAGTTTTTCCAAGACCATACTACCACAAAAATTAGAGTCAGTGGGAACATATGAAAGAAGAAAAGCTCTGAATCTTAGTATTTAGGAATCCATGATATTAACTTCTTTGGTACAACCAGACAGGTTATGATGGGGGCTGGACCCAAAAGGAAACAAAAGCCAACCAAGGAACCAGTACAAAGCTCAAAAGGGCTTCTTGAAACACAAGGGGGTTGATTTACTAAAGGCATATACACTTTGCTAATTTTCCCCCTAGCTCAGTGAATGAGGTGAAGCTCTGCTGACTTAATTAAAAAATATTGTGTTTATTTTCCTTGCATGTGATTGGGTATTCTGTGCAAACTGAATTTTCACCACATTCTACAGGAAAATTCCCTTGCAAAGTTAACAGACTATTTGCCTTTAGAGAATCAACACCAAGGGGTCCACATGTCTTCCATCACAAATCCCGAAAATAAGAGTTTATCTTTGGGCAGTTTTGGCAGTTTATGGTAGAGCCATGCAAACCATTACTTATTTATACATATACAAGGACTATGTATACAAGTACTATTTATACATAAAAGTCTGGCAAAGTCTGAGTTTAGTGTTTTCTGCTGGATAGCATGAGAAGATCACATATTCATTTTGCTTAGCTGGAATTTTTCATTAAAGCAAATCTGTTCATTCAACAACAAAAAATGCTTTCAGGTAAAAGTGCATGCACATAGGGGTACCTGCACAGACCTGCAACAGCCTCCAAGCTCTAAAGTTACACCCAAATGCTGGTCCTTTATGGCCCATTACACTGGTGTGCCTCCTGGCCTCTTCAAGGGCGCCTAAAAATTATGTGGTAGTGGAACTGTGATGTGAAGAGGGGATGAAGACTGATGTTAAAGGGGCTCCTGATGTAAGAGGAGAACTCTGATGTGAAAGGAGGGAGTGATCTGATATGAAAGTGGGGCTTCTGATGCGGAAGGGGGGTTCCTGATATGTAGGGGAACTACTGATGCAAAGAGAGACTAAAAAGGGGGGGGGGTCTTGATTTGAAGAGGCACTACAATGTGAAGTGGGAAACCCAGTTTTTTGGGATGTGTTTCCGTGGGGTCCCCCCTAAAATCTATGACATTTTAAACTGGTGTGGCCCAAGATTTTGCAAACCTTTTAAAGGGTGCCGTGACACAAAAAAAAAGGTTGAGAAACACAGGTTTGGAAATTATCTAAATGGCTGCTATATGTGACAAAAACATATAGCAATATATAGCAACATGCATACAGATCCCAAAATGCCTATACACTCCTATGCAAGTGAAGAACAAAATGGAAGACTATGCTTGTTGCTATGGTTACGAAGGCACAGCCAGACCCAGAGCGTCCAGAGGGTAAAATATTTGCACATATTGGTGAACAAATTAAAAACATTTATTTTTTTTAAATCCTAGATTGAAGACGAAATGGCATTAAATGAGGATTACTTGTTTCTGAGAAGAATACAGAAATGTCTGAAGAGAGGAACTGTGGATCCCACGTTACTGAACTGCAAGGAAGTTATAGCTAAGTTCCGCAGCCTAATCTCTGAGGTATACATTGTGTTGGTGTGTAGACTTTGGCTGCCGCTTGCACAGTTCTGTGATGTGTGTTTAGTATGATTTGCCTCTTTTTGATCTTTCCATTTGTAAGGTGGAATAAATGTCTCAACCGCTCACTTGAAAGGCTGTTACATCTGAAAATAACTCTGACACTACTGTTTCTCACACTTGGCATTTAATTTGAAAATTTGCAAGCTCAGTTGTTAACAGGCAATGGAACTAACAGGTGGAAAGTAGATAAATTGGCTGCCCAGTTATCAGTACGGCAACCGGATGTTTCAGAAGGGTTGTCCATTTTAGAAGATGTTAATCAGATGAACAATGTATAGATGTTGAATTAAATTTCTCATCAGATTACATTTTCCTTTCGGTAAGACAAAGCATACTACCTAGATTTATCCAACAGAGCATGCAGTGGAAAATGTTTGTGTGCTACATATGCAATACATTTGCGGCATCCAAGCTTTACTTTGATAAACACTTAAAATAACTTTATAACTTGATAACACGTTATTGTGTGGAATACAGCAAGGGGCCCAGTTTGACCCAATGCGCCTGACAAGCTTTTACATAGTGGCACAGGCTGAGAGTGTAGAGCTTACTCAGGAATAATAAGGTGAGACATTGCAAGTTAATATAATGTGAGTTTGGATTCCAGCTTACTCTATACACTCATTATATATTTATTACATCACATGTTGTGCGTCATGATATTTCACATTTGTAGTCATTTTATGATACAATCCTGTCCATAGATTGACATGTTTTACCAACAACTATGGGAAACACTTTGCCCATTACTGGTGAAACGGCTGCACTGCTAGATCTTACTATTAATACTTCGATGTGCAATTACTGGTGTTTTTATAAAGAGTTCTCAGTTTCTCTTTCCTCTGGTTACCATACACAACCCTTTCAATATGTCCTAATGTTCTTACAATGGGGTAGACAGCTAGGCCCACTGCAAGGGATAAGAACATTTTTGCCCAGAGTTCTGCTTTAAAGGATCAGTTCTTTTGTCTGTTTGCTCTGTCTGTTGTCTTGTACTTTAAAACTTCTCCGGACCTGACGCTATTCACAAAGATTTCCCACCGCAACATATGTTATTTCACATTCAGATCCAAAATTAGCAGCTGTATGCATTCCTGTCAGATTAACAAGTTTTTTGATGTATGTAAAGGGTCTTTAGAGGGGTAAAACAAGTGGAAATGCACATGCTTTGCAGTGACGTACTGCATATGTTTTTTGTAGGGCTGCAGAAATTAACGATTAATCGTAAATTTTTTTGATCGATCAAAATTATTTTGATCGATCAAAGTTCTTTTGATCCGTACTCACCTCTCCGCCGGCTTCCGGGTCTTCCGTCGGAGATCCGGTGACGTCACGGACATCGACGTCACCGGACTCCTCCCCCCTTCCCCAAGTGGCTGTCGGCTAACAAGGGGAAGGGGGGAGGAGTCCGGTGATGTCGATGTCCGTGACGTCACTGGACTCCTCCCCCTTCCCTTTATTACCCGATGGAGCCGCTTGGGCCGGTGAGTACACATCCCAACTCTCCCAACTCTCTTTTTACCGGAAAGGTTTAATCTGCTCGATTGAACAGATTAAACCTTTCCCTGCGATCGTTATTTTCTTTTCTGACATCGGGAGCCGTGGCCAGACCGTCAGTCAGAAAAGAAAAAAAAGGCATACGATTTCATAGCTTGATTCCTATTGGCTATTGCACTTTGCAATAGCCAATAGCAAACTAGCTAATGCACCAGCCCACTGCTGCTGTCAATCAACAGAGGGGGACCTGAGTTTTTCTATCAGGTCCTCTTCTGGTGATTGAAAGCAGCAGGGAGCGGGTGCAATAGCTAGTTTGCTATAGGCTATTGCAAAGTGAAATAGCCAATAGGAATCTAGCTATGCATTCTTATGCATTTTTTTTTTATTCTGACAACTGCAACTGGCTGGCTATTGCTTCCTGTGCTATCTGCCATCATTTCAGGGGGGTGCTCTCTCCCAGCCCCCCCTAACCCCCCCCTCCACGGATGGGGGGGAGAGGGCACCTCCCTGAAATGAGAGGGACACCTCCCTGAAATTGCTTATTTCAGGTTGGGATCCCTGGCATTGGCCTATACACATACAGCACAGCAATGAAGTAATAAAATGAACTAGGATCACACTAATCCAGCACGTTATTATTCTGAGTTGCCCCACTCAAGCGGCGGCCATATTGAGTGGGGCACGTGAGATTAATAACGTGCTGGATTAGTGTGATCCTAGTTCATTTTATTACTTCATTGCTGTGCTGTATGTGTATAGGCCAATGTAGTTGGATCTGTATGTGTGTTATAATTAAATCGAAATTAATCGATTTTAAAAAATGTCGATTAATCGAACAGGAAAATTTTAATCATTACCAGCCCTAGTTTTTTGTTGTTGCTTTGCCCTGACTTACGTTTAAAGCTAAATCAGGGAGGGGGCAGAAGAGGGTTTTCTGGCTAACAAAGTTAAATTAGAACTAGGAGCAAAAAACTAAATTACATATGTGATGCAATCTGTCAATAGCAATAAAGCACAACTCAGGGAAAAAATGTTCTTAACCTTTGCAGTGGGGCTGCCTCTGCGCTGTCAGGGTTAAGTGCTCATTTTTGTCTAGGTTCAAAAATAAAAAAGTTAAACCCATTTGATCCTCAAAGACCACTTGCTCTTAGACCAGTCCCTTCCGCCTTGCTCCCTCTCCTCTGCAGCGGTCTAAGGTCCCAAGAGTCATCACATTCTATACACTGTGTATAGGACATGAGGACAATGAGGGACATGCCATCCCTGCAGCAAAAGAGGAGATAGGTGCAGAAGGAACCAGTCTAAGAACAAGCCAGCTCTCAGGATCGGGTAAGTATAACCGCTATTTTTGAACCTAGACAAAAACGATCACTTAACCCTTGCAAGGCAGGGGTATCCCCAGAAAATATTTCCCCAAAGTTCTGTTTTAACAGCAGATTTTGGTTTTCAACATGTAATAAGACTATATTACACGGGGACTCTGCTGTGTTAATACTGGTGACAGATTGCATCATATATGATTTTTATTTTGTCCTTAGTTCCACTTTAATAGCAGGCATAGTGTGATGCGTGCTCTTTGCCATGGTGTTTACCTTTAAAAGTTTAAAATAAAGTAAGATTCACTAAAAGATAAAGTCCATATATCTGTGGCTGGCACATATAACCAGTAAAATATTTAATGGTCCCTTTATGTAACAGTGAGAGTCACAGCTGTATCTTAAACAACTGTCAATTTTCACATATGTCTTCAGTTTGAAAGTTATGATTCTAGGCAAATTCAATAACTTTGTGGTTTAATATAAAATCACATACTGTGGTTTGCTGTGTCCTTGTTTTACGCACAGTACATAACTTCCCAGAAGCAATCTACCATTGTAATATACTGTCATAAAATGTCATGATGTGCTGCTGCTTTGTCTGTAGATGATGTATTGCAGCTCATACATGATAATCAATGGGGAAGGGCTTCAAAGGAAAACCAAACAAGTACAGCTGCATTTTGCAGAAAGCTGGCAATGCAGAAGAAGCCCATTGGCCCATGCCATACCCTCAGATCACAAGTGATATAAAAAGAAGATGTATCATATCATTTTGACACCAAACTATGATGTTTATGAATCCCTCTGAATCGGAATTCACTTGGACAAAAGATTGTATTCACTGCACATATAATTCCAGGTCAAAGATGACCCAATCTGCCTCTTAATGTGATGTGATGTAAGGATAATTATTACCCATTGGGATTCTCCCTCTACTTACCCATAGTCAATTGGGTAGGATGAGTGAAAGTTGAAATACTTGTCTGACCTCACAGTTTTGTGAGAACTGTAATTGGTTATGCATATGTTTGAAAGGTGGTAATTTCCTCCTCAGTAGTGAGATGAGTTATGGAAGAAAGCAGGAAATATCTAACATAAAGGTCATAAGCTTTTTCAGTGTTGATGGCTCATAAACAAAAACATATCTGAAAAGAAGACAAATTATGAAATTGTAGATCCGCTTTTGCAGTCAAATTATAGAAACTGCCACCATATGTTTATTATGCTTTCCCATTCACACAGCATACTTAAAAATAATTGTTCCAAACAATATTTCTTACCTTTCTAGTTGTTTCTTTGGAGCAGTTGTTTGGGCAGGCTGCAGGCTAGGTAGCAGTGGCATCACAAGGGGGGTGCGTGGGGTGCGGCCCGCAGCCGGGTGACACCATTGGAGGGGTGACACCAAAATGACTCACAGTCATTTTGGTGTCACCCCCCTCTGAAAAGTCCGGCGCTCGGTCATGGACCGAACGTCCGACAGTATCAGGAGAGAGGAGGGGACCCGGCGGCATACCTTATGCTGTCCCCTCCTCTCTCTGCCGGTGTCCATCACCAAGATGGCCGCAGGCAGGTATCAGAATACTGCCGGGCGTGCGCGATGACGTCATCGCGCATGCGCGTGGTGATGTCACGCGCTTGCGCAGTGACGTCTTGGCACGGTGACACTCGGTTACCGCTCCAGGTGTCACCCACCCTCGGGACGCCCCTGCTAGGTAGCATTGTCAAAGTAATATTAAAGTCAAATGGGTTTTAACCTCTTGCTGTCTGCCCGTAGTAAAAAAACGGACGGACGGCACTGCTGCATTGGCGGGTTGCCGTCTCATTTTAAGGAAGTAAAAAAACACAAGTAAAAAAGAAAGCAGCATTTTTTTCAAAGTTATGCTATGAGAATGGGAACATGTAACAAATATAAAGTACCGTATTTTTCGCTCCATAAGACGCACTTCCCCCCCCCCCAAAAAAGGTGGGGGGAAATGTGTGTGCGTCTTATGGAGCGAATCCCTATGAGACATGCAGTTTCGGGTGCCGGGCGTAGTTTTTTGTACATTTAGCCCTGCTTAAGCAGAGCTAAATGTACAGTAGGAGCCATTGCTCGTTTAATACGAGTGATCTAATAAGATCACTTGTATTAAAACCGAGCAGTGGCGGCGATCGAGATCACCATACAGCCCCTAGAGCAGACGAAGAACGGACATTTTTCGTCTGCTCTGTGTGATCACTGAGACCGTGCCGCTGGAAAATTATTAGAGAGTACTTCAAATATTATTTGCAATTATTTTGCACAAGTAATGCACATGATGACACTAAACCACATCAAAGCATACTCCAGCCCTCCAACTGTGGTGAAACTGCAAAACCTATGATGCAGCTGTCTCTGGGACTCATACCATGCTCATTTGATATGTAGTTCCACAATAGCTGTATGGCCGGCATTTGCCCAGCTCTGCACTAAACATATAAGGCTCTTTTGCTACATTAGTTGCTACAAGTCCACTCTATACTGCTGATTCCTGACCTTACCTTCCATTACTTCAAGCCAGTAAAATAACTACTGCAAGTTGAAAGGCTTATGCCAGGGCCAGTGGTGTATTTTGGTTTTGTGCTGCCCTAGGCAAGACTAAACCTGAGCACCCCCCCCCCATCCCTAATCTAAATTATTCCCACCTCTTCCTGTTTAAGGCATTTTGCATAACCTGTCAGTCGCGGGATACAGCGCGCCCGGTGTATCTAGATTCTGACAGGTTGCGCTATCAACGTAGTATGACGCTCTAGTTCTACCTTTGCAATAGCCACCTTCTCCATTCCTGGCATGATGGGCTCCCTAGATCTGCAGCTACAAAAACCCTTCTCTCCTGCACTGCCATGCTGTGCTAGTCTCTAGTTCTGCAGCTGCAACACCGATTTTCTGCCTTAATATCCTGGACCCGCTAATTCTGCAGTTACCAATCTTCTGCCTTGGGCTGCACGGAGCTTATAGGCTGCACTTCCCCGGACTCACCACCATGGAGGTGCCGATGAGCACGGTGACCATCCGGATCTCAGCCCTGGGGTCCTGCGGAAGCTCCTCCGCTGCCTGAAGTCAGAGATTTGGGTGCCGGTTTCCCAGGGAGGTCCGGAGCATGAACTGCCAGTGCATCCGGATGAAAGTCACACACACCAATACATTGCACAGCATGTTGACCAGGTAGAGGAAGGAGCTGCAGCTGGCATATATGTTGGAATAGGCTGCATAGGTGGACACGTTGGTCCCCCAGTCAAAGAAGCACCAGGTCCAGGAGTACTGGCAGTAATTTATGAATAATTTATAATATAATTTATTTATTTTTCTCTTACCTAACTGGTTTGGGGGCAGCATTTTTTGGCGCCCCCCTGGAAAGTGCCGCCCTAGGCAAATGCCTAGTTTGCCTTGCAGTAGATACACCCCTGGCCAGGGCCTACTGCTAGCAGCCAGAACATTTTCTCAAGTGCCAGTAATTGGCTTCTATATAAGATTTAACCATCAGTAAAATAACCTGTGCTGGCAGAACATAGGAGAGTCAGACCATGAGAGGGATTTATCAAAACTGGAGCAGACAAAATCTGGAACAGATTCGTACTGCAGCCAATCAGCTTCTCTGTCTCATTTTCAAATCGTAACTGAGGAAACTGAAGAGAGATGCTGATTGGTTGCCATGGGCAACTGCTCCAGATTCTGTTTGCTCCAGTTTTGATACATTTCCCCATGTCTTTTTTGCACAAATGAAGTGGGCCAGTTCTACTGCAGTCTGACATGCTAATTGGCAGTAGTTGGCTTCTACATATAAGGCCTATCAGAAAATAGCTGTAAGCAGTCATTATTACAGTATGGGTGCAAAGCAGAACAATGGTCTTGTGGCTCCCTATGTCAAGCCTTTTCTTCTCATTATAAACAGTTGGCCTGGAACAGCCACACTATTGTGAGAACTGCAGTATCTTAGTGATGACTGTAGGAGGATTTCTGTCCTAGTTGTAACAATTTCATTTAGATGAAGTATTCCCTTCAGATCAATAGAAAGTGATAAAGGAACATCTAAAACACAGTTTCTACCATATCCTGGATAAATAACCAATGTGTTTTTTTATTTAGGTGACCCAGTCTGACCAACCGGATGAAAGCCATGAAAAACCAACAGGTACGTTGAGAATATTCACCTTTATGAGCTTCATTTTTACTAGCTATGAACTAGTTAAAATCAGACTGCTGCACCCTGCAGCATCTCGTGCAGTCAAGCTTATTTCAATTAAATCTGTCACAAAGTAAAATATCTGTTCAGAGACTTTAAATAGAAGTAGCTGTTCAAAGAAATATAACGAAGTTAAGATAAACTAACATCGAATAAAGCTCTATGGAAGTACAGAAGGAAAGCACTTGTATGAAATAGAAAACAAGAGCACAGAAGCGCACTGGCATAAAGTAGTAGATTAAGTTGGTTCCATTTCAGCCTCTGATGAAGAGGAGGTGTTCTCCCTGAAGTTCATCTCTAGCAACAGTAGTGTGTGGGACAGAGGCACCAGAGGAAACAGAACCGACTGGGAGAGGAGAAAGGAGAAGGAACTGAAAATTGACAAAACAAGCTGACTCTCTGGACACAGCATCTCAGCTTCTGATTCAGCAGCTCCATCCTGAGGGTACATGGGTGGTTCCCCTGCTACCATTGCTCTATTTGCATTTTGGCTTCTACACAACAAATACATTTGTGAGAGCACTCATTTTATTCACCATTTCACATTAAAGCTTTTTGAACTACTACACTATGCCAGTGCGCTTCTGTGCTCTTGTCTTCAAGTGCAGACTGCAACAGCTATAAACTGTAATATAATTGATGGGGTGTTATAGTGCATGAAGTAATGGGTCCCAAAATTTATTTTTTTAAATTACAGCTCCAGGTCCTTTAAAGCTACCATTCACCCGTCCCACTAACTTAACAAAAATACACTAAGAAGGAGGTGGTTCAGAATAGAAAACAAACAGCTTGGCTTACAAAATGAGATAAGTGAAGATACAGCAGGGCATATGAAATAAAGCAGTGCAGAATAGTGACTGGACAGTGTGACATATGGAATGACCCAGTGCAGAATAGTGACTGGACAGTGTGACATATGGAATGAGCCAGTGCAGAATAGGGAATGTACAGCATGGCCTATGGAATGAGCCAGTGTGGGATAGTGAGCTTACAGCATGGCATATGGAATGAGCTAATGCGAAAGAGTGAGCATACAGCATGGCATATGGAGTATACCAGCAGTTATTTTGTTATCTTAAGGGCTCATTCATAGTAGTGTAACTGCAGTAATGCGCATTATTGTGGTGCAATTACCATCCGTTGGCAAGGTGTGTTGGGGTGCCATTCAATCTGATTGTGATGTGCTTGACAGTGCACCACAATTCATGGTAATGAATGTGCGCTGCGTTACAAAAAAAGAAAGTTAAAAAAGTATTGGATTTAAAAAAAAAAAAAAGATATACAGTATATGATGGAGTGATCAACAATAAAATAATTAAGAATTTAACTTTTTTCTATTTTCATGCTTGCAATATGATGGGATCTCCAAAATATTAATGGTCTTATATTTACTACAATTGTAATATTGTTAAAATCAAAATTTACTTTCAGGTAAATGTTACACTAAAAACTCAAAATGTGACCTCATGTAAAAACCACTTTAGAGTCTATTTAAAAGCAATTTATTTTTTTCCAACTGTGGTGCATAAAATCTACGTTGCTCACAAAATATAAGGTAATTTGTCAAGCACTTAATTACTCGATTCATATAATTGTGTTTGGTAGGGAATTTTTGATTGATTCATTTTATTACAGAACTTTTTTTACCATCACATGAACATCTGAGCAAAACCAAGAATGCAATAACTGTCATACAGCGACTTAGTAAGCAAGAAACTTAAAACAGTAATATATATGTATTTGTATCATAGATGAAAGGACAAATTCAGTTCCCGCACCTCGAATTGGAGAAGAACCCAACACTTCAAAGAAAGGTATTAAATACACATTGAATACACATTAGAGTTAGAATAAAGTATACTATCATGCTGCTATTTCCTTCTTCACAAGCTTTTGATTACATAATATAAATACACAGAAAAAAAAGACACAATTCTGCACAATCCAGGAGTTTAAAAAATGAATGTCAATGTATTTCATGCACCCACCAGTCTACACTGGAAATGACAGTATATAACTGATATGACTATAAAGTGACAAAGATGGTTCTTATTTCTGAAGATTCTACATGTATGTTGTAGACCATACACTGATTGTCACCAAAAGATGTGTGTCCTTAAAGTGTATGCATAAGCAAAACAGTTTTTTTTTATTTTATTTGAATAGCGTAGGAAAGTACTAGAACCACCATCAGGTTTTCTCACCCTCTATGTTTGTCCTAATGGCCATTGTCACTAAATCACAAAGTGATGGGAAGTCTAAAGTGAGGGTAAATCTTTCTATGGGAGCACCTGTTTTGGTGACAGCTGTCTAAGAGGGGCAAATGACTAGTGACAAGCATTACCCATGGTCTCCCTGTAGCTGAACTTTTCAACATTACTGACTTGCTGTGCCTTAGTCTGCACTTTGTCTTTTTTGTGTAGGCAGCAATCTTTGTAGAGGCATAGTTTCACTTCCTCATGCCAGAGCCTCCAGCAAGAACAATAGTAAGCAGCTCCTGAAACTAACAGTCAGAGGCAGTAATACCTTAAATCTTACACTATAGACACCTTAGAGTCTTTTAGAACTTTTTATTTAGACTTGAGCTCTTTATCAAATGTATAGCGTAAAAGTGTCTGTGCTTCCTACAACAACCATTTCACGCATCCTATTGCACTCCTGACCGGTAGATCCCAAAATTTGTGGTGGGTGCTACAGTACACAAGTGTATGGTGCCAGGATCAAAAGCAATGTAGAAAAGAGGCACCAGCACTCCAACTGTGATATAAAGTCATCCTTTATTAAAACAAGTCAACCATATCACAAAGCAAATTACATTTCGGGTTCCTTCATTGTCCCTTTTTTTGCCTGATGAAGGGACCCTATGTGGCCCTGAAATGTTGCAGATATAGATTTTGTCAGCCAATCAACTATCTCTACTGCGCTTAGCACTGTACAGAACTGTATAACATTATATCCTCTCCATACCCTCTCCCTACACAGATTTGTCAGCTTTCTCTAACCAGCTCCAACACACACTGACAATATGGCTGCTGGGAGCCAACCTTTTTTACAGTGAGGGGGCTGACCAGTCTATTCTTTCAGATTATTTGCTCTCAGGGACCCATTCAACAATTGACAAATGTTATGCAGTGCAATAAGGGTTCAGGCACAAACATGCCATTTTCTTTTCATAGCAAGTTTGAAATAAACACTTTTCTGTAACAAACACTTGACTCATTTTAATACTGAAAATTAAATGTGTCAAAACTAAACATCCTGTTTGCAACTAATTGCAAGAAGACAGATAGATGGAAAGATTAAAAAAAAATTGTACCTTTGAAATAGCAAAAAATTACTTTTGTAATTTTATTAAACCGGTGATTTGTATTACATAGGATGTAAATAGCTTTAAAGTACCTAAATTCCCTTATCAATGTATGTATCATTTACAATCAAGCTCCTTCATCCGTGAAAACAAGTGATTTAGGGTGACTCAGTTAGTGAATAAGGACAAGGCTATGCATCATCTTTAAAGTAATATTCTCTGTTGTTAACTTGTAAATTACTTTCAAAAGCCACCCCAACTGCCTCATTTATTATTTTACTGCAGAGTGCAGGGGTCCTAAAACTACAAAGGTTCAGTTCAATGCCCTTCAGACCTTAGGGGTATTGTGGCCAGTAGGTTGTAGAAAATGCCCCATCATCAGTGGCAATACACATTTCTCCAGGGTTGGTGAGCTGTGGGGGTGAAACATGTTTGAGTCAATGCAAAGAATAGCCCACATTTAAAAGTTAGTTACTGATTGGTTCCTATAGATTATTTGGATTATGCTATAAAATGTTATTACGGGGGTAATTCAAAAAAACAGTGCAGTGTTTGTGCAAAGGGCAGCAGACCACATCAGCCAATTAGATGAAACCTTATTGATAAGACTTACTGCATAAGTATGAAAAGATTGCAAATGTGTCACAAAACATGTAATGAGCTATGGGAATTTGCATTGCAATACTGCTGAGGTATGACAAAGCTTCATACCCACTGGAGTTCTGCCACTAGAAGCACCAAATGAAAATACCGGTAAGGCAAATATGATTTACAAGTCACTGACTGAGGAAACAGAGTAACATTATCGAACAGTGGTATTACCCAACAGTTAATATACATGAAAGCAATTCCGGTCTTTTTTTGTTAAGTGTAATTGCTAAGAATAGATCTGTTTTTAAAAATTGTCAGACCCTGGATATTTATTCCTAGATAAATCTGAGGTACCATAATTATTGCCAAATATATGTTGGTAGTGCCAATTTAGAAGAGAAAAAGGTTCCTAGCCCACAACCTGTCCTGATTTGATAATAGGTAATACAGTATATTTCATATATTACCTTTTCACGTCACTTGGAATAGCTGTGTGCAGTTAAATGTTAATTGTCTGAATATCATTCATTGCAGTGGTTGCTATACATCTAGTTGGAGACAAAGACAACAGCAACAAAGAAGGTAAGCAGATGTATATGATGTTTCTTAGTGGCAATATTAGTTTACAGATTAAGGGCTGAATATCTTTAAATTAAAATGTCTGGGACTTAAATGCATAATTATATCCATGAAAATGTATGCAGTTGTGATTAATCTCTGGGAATTGGGGCATGTGGAATGCCTGCAATGCATAGTGCTTGGTATAGGTATTGATGTGAAGGGCCTCATATAGGCATAGCAGACCTTATGGAGCAACGGAGTGATGGAGTAAAGCAAAGCTAAAACCCCTGATAGGTTTTTGTTTTTTGTTGCTGTTGGTGTCCTATTAGGGACACTAATTTCTTGTCTTGGAGACACAATAGGAAGTTAAAGGAAAATATTTCCCCTCTATTCTTTTTCCAATTACTTTTGGATTTCTGGACAATGGTCAGCAGGACAATCAGAGAGACTGTAAAAGTCCCCAGCAGAGACACAGATAGTAATAAAAAAAATCCTCACCAAATAAAATAAAAAATATTTTGGCAAGAGATACTCTTTAATAACGTTTTGCTCCTCCAGAGCAGCTGAAATTTGGAAAGGAGTAAATAAAGGTCCAGGCACAGCTTCACTACTGCTTGGCCTCTTTCTATGGTCTGATTGTACAGATTGCTTTTGTAATATTCAAATTAATGTGCTGTCTATTGCAAAGGACTTGGGCTACTTGCTTTTAGCTATGTAATCTTTTGTTAGACTTGTTTATTGTAAAGATCCAAGACTATGTTTAGAAGGCTTTTGTTGCTATGGGAAATGTATTTTCTAGAAATACTTTCACTGAGGTTGATATTTATGGCTTTTTTTAAACATACCCATTTATGTCGAGAATCTCTACTATGTACTGCAAACCAGTTACATATTATATTTTGTGAGTTATTGTTTATTTTGGATTTTGGGCACAAACACAGACACCTGCAGGAAGCTCATGCAATGATTGGGTGGATGGGGGGATTGACAGGTGAAAGTGGATTTGTTAGTGTGCACAACACATACACATTAGTTTCAGCGGGGGGAGCTTGTTATGTGCCTGAATAAGTAAACATACGCTCACGTACATACATACAACTACTAGTTTGAAAATAGTTTCCGCTAGTGAATATTGATACCACACAATGGTCAACCCACACCTCAAAATCAAAGGTTAGACTTTTTCTTTAAACCCTACACCATTATTATTTCATGACACATCAGTGGGTGGTCTTTTTGCACATGCACATATTTCAAAGCATTGTGGTTTTGTTTAGTTTCTCTTTTGTTTCTTTAAACCAAAATGTAATACCAGTGCAAGAGGCTGATGGAAAGAAAGACATCTATGTCCAGCCTAAATTATTTAGCTAACTACATTAGCTTGTTTTTTAGGTCTCGTTTTTAGGGTGTTTTTGGATTTAAATTGCATTAACAGATATCTTCTGTAGGTCAATGTATAGCAATAAAAATGAACAGTGCAGAAAACCATCACAGCTATAAAGAAATTGATCTTTAATTGATCCGGTTGGAGTACACTGAAATTTGGCTACAGTGATTTTGCTAGTTTGCACAATGGTCTTAGGTTGCAGGAAACCAAATAGGAAGTCTTGCTGTTCTTGCTTATACTAAAGTAACACTGATATCAAAAATAGCACTACAAAGCACGGGATATCATATTCTCGCATATTCATACAGTAGAGTTGCCATTTAACATATGCCCTAACAAATTATTGTTGGTCAATGAACAATTTAAAAAAATGCGTAATTTACATGACCACTCAAGTTAAAATAAACATTTCAAATTGAATTTCAGATGGACATAAACACACTAATTAATACAAAATACATTAAAAATCACAACATTTTTTTAAAATGCTACTAGTTTAGGTTCTTGATTTTTTTTATGGATTTCAGCCTCTTGCAAACCCTTGTTCAGTAGAATCCAGGATGGGAGAGGCACTAAGGGTAATCTGGAGTGTTATAGTGCACTTGTGCTAATAGTGAACATTCTAACAAAAGGAGAATGCACAGCGAGCAGAGGGATGACATCATCAGTGTGTGGCTGCTTCTTCATTATCCAGTCACAAGTTGTAGTCAGGGAGGTGACCAAGCTGTATTGCCTAACAGTGGTGGAAAAAGAAAACCAGGTCACCAACTTAGTACCTAATAATGTTTGGCAGGGTTGTGCATATCTCCATAACGAACAGCCAGACACAAATCTTTGGTAGCTAAAATAAATCCAATATGTGGATTTGTAACTCTTTGTTTTAAAAGCAGTAAAATTGTATACTCGCCACCGAAAAGTGCAAAAAGACAAACGTTACATATACAATGTTTATGGAAAAGTAACAACAACTAATGTGCAAATATTCTATTAACTGTAACTATTGCCATCATTAATCATTGGACTACCTTACAGAATATGTCCAAAAAGCTGAATTCTGTCACTTGTGTGCATTGGAGCTTTTTGCATGCAATTCCATCTGCCCTAGAAGGAATGGAACAGAGCTGGCCTTACAGATAGTCATTATTGAACTTTACCTTGAGCTGGAATTGTAGATAAGGGACAAAACACAGAACTGTATGAACAACAAAAGAACAAGATTGTTTCCCTGTATTCTGACAGATGCACTCCATCCTGTGTTCACTGAAACCTTTGAAGAATTTACCTAAGCTTCCATAGCTTTGTGTTTGATATCATTTTTAGATGCAAAAGGACTGCGGTTTTACCACAATGGTGTGTTACATTCAGTACTATAAACCCAAAATTCAGCCTGTAGTTAGAGTTCATGGTGTGCGAGTTGGTATTAATGGAGCAGGAAACAGGGAGTGAAACAGGTGTAAGTGCACTGGGTCCCTGTTCCAAGGCCCCGTCTACTCTTACCCTCTGTGAAAATTCCTTTTAACAAAGTGCATGCCAAGCAGAGAGATGCTAATCAGCAGAGCAGATCTGAACAGGGAACACACCCTTTTGTCATGTGATTTGTTGTCATGTGACCATTTCAAAGTGTTCAATCAACAAATCACATGACAATGGGGGTCGTTCCCTGTTCAGATCTGCTCTTAAGTATCACAGATCACTGTTCCCTGTATCAGAGAGTCAGTGTGGCCCTGCTCTGGAGTATGAGAGGTGTCCGGTGCACTCAAACTTTTCAGGATGACAGGAATAGGACCTGATGTCTCCAAAGTTCAAGGTGGCCTGTAGATGTGCTGGGACCCTGCATGTCCATCTAGAGGGTTTGGGGAGGGCACATTTTTAAAAATTATTTATTAACAAGGTATTTATTGCTTTCACATAATTAAAATATAAGGCATAGCTGAGCCCTTACAAGAAAATTGAAGCTAAGAGGTACTGTTTTTAGAAAAAAAGTTTCCCGACAAAAGTGATTTTAGCTGTATATCTCAACCCACTCAACTTTTTCACAAATATCTGTTGATGTAAGTCATCTAAAAAAACGAACATGTATTCTGAAGAGTATTTATAGATGCCTTCTTTTCTGCTGTGTATAGAAATGTTTAGAACAGGAAGTTAGTTTGGTGTGTGGTGAATACCTCACTTGTTCCCGTTCGATATAGGCAATAAAGAAATAGAAATTTGAAGATTAACAGACTGCAGGCAAATTTAAAAAGATAAAATGTTAGACATACTTTACACATCATGATAAACAACTGATTAACCATAGACTTTTCTCAGTTGAGATTTTAGTTTAATCAATGCATAGAACAGAAGAGATTTTATTTTTGATTATAGTTGGAATCAGATGAAGATCAGGGACACAGGATCCTCAGACTACATGGCTACATGGATGGCTTTGTTGTGGTTAGTATTTTAGACTAGCAGAAGCCAGCTGAGTGATTGGAAAAGAGGGACGGCAGACACTGAGCGGTTGGTAAGGTGAATGATTCTGGCAGCAGCATTCTAATAGATTAAAAGGGGAATAACAAGGGAGAGCAATAACAAAGGAGTAAATAAGTCATTGGTTAAGAGGGGGTGTTTTGTTGGATATGTTATAGAGGTGAAACTGGCAGGATTTGGACAGTGATTGAATGTGGAGCCTAATGGAGAGGTCAGAACCCAGGATTGCACTTAGCACCTTAGACTGAGGGGAGGTACTGATAGTTATGCTATTGATCTTGATGCAAAAGTCAGGGAAGGGTACATGCAGGGGAGGAAATATTGTGAACTCAGTTTTGGAAAGTTTTTTTGAGGGTAGCAGGTGTTATACTATTAGAACTTTCTCCTACCTTTGATACAGTAGAAGTACTGAGTAGTGCCATTGATTTTAGTAGTTAGTAAGTCATTAGAGAGTTTTCATGGTGCGTTGAGGGCAAAAGTCAAACTGTAGGGGGTCGAGAAGGTTTTTATCAGTGGGGTAGCAATTCAGAAAATTGCAGCCCAGGTGTTCTAGAAGTTTAGAGGTAAGCAGGAGCAAGGAGGTCGTTTTTTCACACTGGTGGAGTCCAGCAAGGGCTTTGAAAGTATGTGGGTGACCAGTGCATGTTTTAGAGAGGAGGGGAAGATGAGAGAGAGAGAGACAGACAGAGAGAATGAAGATGTGGGTTAGAGAATGCAGAAAAGAACAAGAAGGTGACCGGAGTAGTTTTTAGTGGACAGGGCCCGGGTTCAAGTGGTTAGGTGGTGTGACATTGCATGGCAATACTACTGTGTTATGTGGCCTCAAAGTGACCCAGGAATCTAAGCCAGAGGGGCTGAGTGGCTCCAGGAAGAAAGTAAGTGTACCAGGAAAGAACTGCCTTTTCAGTCCAACATAAATAGCTTGTCTCCAGCATATAACATATATGGGCTCACCAATCCTCGAGGTGTCCCACACACTCACAGTGTCCTAGTCCTGTAACATTTCTCTCTTGCTGCTCCTGGCCTCAATCCTCAGGGCCACTGTCTGTCACCTCCAGACAACCCCAGTAATGTGCTAACACGCACAATAGGTATCACAAACCCGCAGCACCCTGCTGCACTGGCCTCCACTCTGACTCTGTTCTCCTCACTCACAGGTGGGGCCCTAAACACATCCCAGCACACTCTTTATGAGGGATGTGCACAATCAGGTGCTGGTCACTACTAACCCACGGACCCAGGACTGGAGATTTCCTCCCACCCAGAGCTGGGTCACATAACACAGTGGTATTGCCACGCAATGCCACATTGGGCATCAGAGAGAAGTTTAGCAACTTCCTCTGTAGTAACAGGGTCAGGGTCAAAAGAGAAAAAGATTGCGCAGACATGGCATGTTAAGTGGGGGAGATGTCTGGGAATCTTATCACGAATTGCATCTACTATGTTTTTTAAATGATTAGGTCCTAATCATTCAAATAAGGTGAATGAGTTTGTGGGTGGGGGTGGCGTGGGATGTAATAGAGAGTTAAAGGTGAAAACAAGGACTGGAGTGATGAAATAGGTCTACTGGGCAGCACAGCCACAGTAGTTATAATTTAGGAGGGCATATTTTTACAAGGTGCTGTTTTGACGGGTTTAGTATTGTGCCACGCTCAAAAACAATGCTATTTTGAGACTTTTGGAGTTATCTGATTGCCAGGGCTGTTTCAGTCGGGGCCAAATACAGGACAGGAGAGAGATTATGTCATAGAGGGAAATAGAGAAGGGTTAAAGTGGTGAAAATATGTACGGGTAAGTTTGCTGCTTCGGGGCATAGGGGGTTGAAGACAAGGAGAGGATGTAACTGATAAGGTTGTGATCAGAGAGAGGAAAGGGGGTGTTAGAGAGGTTTCAGGTAGTGCAGAGGAGGGAGAAAATAAGGTTGTTGGCGTTGCTATCATAATTAGTAGGAGTATGTGTCCACTGTGTTAGGACAAAAGTTTAGGTTAGGTTGGATTAGATGAGGTTAGGTAGGATTAGGGGAAATATCTACAGAAGTTAGGAGAAGCAGGAGAGTAAGGGATGTAAGTCGGAAGTGAGAGCTATATGCGTGCACCATTGTCCTGAAGGAAAGAAAGAGAAAGCATATTACAGGGTGGAGAGAGAAGCAATCAGACTCGGAAAGAAAAAACCAGCTGGTAAAAATACAGATTCACTTGCAGTCTGTTATGTGGTGTGCAGTGTCGTTTGTAGATTCCATTTTGTTTCTGCCTTAGTTGAACTGACGTGTTACATTGCCAGTAGCTCATTTATGTGTAAATTATACTTTGGAGGAAAATATAATGGCAGAAGTACCAGTGCCCCCTGGTAAAAATTCCTTCCCTCATGAGATTATCTAAATATATACAGTAGGGGTATGTGGTGAGGGAGATTTTGTCAATTAAGTAACTAGCAACTGATACAAAGACACACGGAAGAAAGTGGACACTTTCACCCATAAGAAAGGTTCAAGCCACAAAGATAGCATCAGCTCTATGATAAAAGCAAGACAACAGGAAGGTAAATCTATAAGAGTTTTACAATTGTACATTAGATGTTATATACCATAAGCAGAGATGAATGCAAACATTTCTTTTTTTTTCACACACACAGCACAGTAGGACAATGGTTAAATGGTTACCTGTGAAGAAGCGGAGAATAGCTGATCAGTGTAACTGCCAGTAGTACACTTAGGTGGAAATTATAATGGCAGAAGTGCCTGCGCTTCTGGACAAAAATATACATTTAAAACACAGTGTACCTGTACATGCATAACATACACATATACTGAACTTGGAAGTATAAGAGGTGCATAAGATGTACATAAGTCACCTGTTACTCTACACGCATGCAGAGGTTTAAGCTAGCTTGGTAAAGTATTAAAATGCTTATTACTATAAGTCACTTATTTACAGTTTTTGAGTATTTTACATTTTTACTGTTTCTGCATGCCTTTAAATGTGGACATACAGTATATCTATTAACTCAGCACATTTTTTTCTTTCATACTTCGTAGACATTTTGGGATTATGTTTGTGTAAGCAAATGACAACTGTAGTAAATATTACCACAAATATTGTTCTGATAAAAATTAGAACAAACTGTACTAGACAATTACATTTACAATATACAATTAAAGCAGAACTTAAGTTTGCTGTGCTCGTCTCCCCTTCAGGGATGCAACGTCTGACAGCTTCCTTGCCATCACTAACATCTTCACCCCTTCTTCTTCCATATTCACTATGTTTGGCCAGTTTGATTCATTTGGCCAATTTGATAGGATGACGGAGCTCTTGTGCATGAGCACAGGGGTAATTAATTTTGGCACCAAGACATGCTAAGAATGTGCACAGAGAAGAAGAGTGTAGATTTAGGAGAGACATTGCTGATTGGCAGAAGAGGAGCCTACTTGTCAGCAATGTTTCTTTGCACGGCTATAGTTCCACTTTAACATTACTGGTTTTGAAGTCTTTATATCCTCTGTATCCTCTGTTTGAAAAAAGATATAATTGGTTTGGAAAGGGGGTGTCTTAAGCAAATTTTCAGGTCATCTGGAGGTGAAAAAAACTGAAAACGATAGTTTTCCCAGATGACAGATACAAAACAGAAGGCTGCCTTGGCACGAAAAAGGTCAAAAAGGAAGAAGTTCTCATCAAAATGTTTTCATAGTTGATAAAACTAGCAGATATAAGTTAATACAGAAAGTGAAAAACAAATCAAACTGACAACTGGAAAGATTTCTAAGTAGGTCGCTGCACCTCATCATGACTCAGATGCAAATATGAATTCTGTGGTCACAGATCACTACTTGGTCACTTATTCCACCCTATTTAATGATTTATTCACTTGGGAATGATGTACAAGTCACAACACTGCAATTGGATTGTTAATCATAGGTCCGTGACAGCGAAGGACTTCGAAATTCAACTTCAGTGCACACTGCAAATGTTGACTATTAATGTATGCCGAGTCATAACTTAAAAGTTAAGCCTGCATAAGTCATATTTCTAATCTCTAAAGTATGTAATTGAGTCATTCACTGGGTTTTTAAAACTGGTAGTTTATTGATAATTCAGTATTATTTAGCAGCATACAGAAGAAGATCCCAACTATCTTCACATCAGTGGGACTTCAGCGATAACTTCTGAAGGCTGGAACCCTAGGCTCAGAGGTCACACTCTAATAGAGATTGTAGCCACAAATGGAACCACTCACTGTTACCCAGTGGATTGTCAATGCCCAGTCCCCAGTGTTAGCACTACTATATTTAGTTGCCGTCTCTCCCTATTATTATTAAATTTTACTATACCAATGAAGGAAGGGACCACTAATCAGGCAGAGCAATCGGGCAATGGGAAGTGGCAGGTTCGCATGTGTCAAAAGGTAGTGGAACTGCTTCCTAAACACCCGAATCATCTTTTTTCTCCCACCCAGATTGCTGTAGTTTAGGTGGGTGTAAAATACCTCTAGTCTCAATCACAGAGAATTTAAAGGTACAAGGTTGCCCATATGTGGCTCAATGCTAGTGGGTAACAGGGCAAGCCAAAGAATCTTCCCTTTTTATGTAAAACTGGGGAACTTTTAGCAAGCATTTGCTACATCCACACATTGTGTAAGCTGGGAATATTGCACTAGGAACTGGTAATGAAGTTAGGGAGTTTTGGATGTCTCACTGCTCTTTGATCTTGTGGTGAGGTATCCATCTGTCTTTGACCAACTTTAGCGAAGGTACAGAAATAAATGCTGAATGCTTTAGTTATAGATGTTCCACATCTGTTTCGAACGACTGATACTTTAAGAACATGAAGGAAAAAAGGTGATTGGTTTCAAATGCCCCTTATATAGCAATGAGTAAAATCAAATGTCCATCTTGCTTGTAGGTTATATTTATATGACAATTATTACCAAAGATTTTATTTTATTTGTGGTGGGGCGCATCTCACCGTGATTGAAGGAAAGAAAGATTGGTGTTAATACATTGTCTTTTTGTCTCCACAGCTCTCCAGTGGCAGCAAAAAAGTTACTTAACATTGCAAAATGAAATTACTTATACAAATGGCAAACTCAGAATTGAAACACCCGGAGTTTATTACATTTACTCTCAAGTCAGTTTTTGTGCTAATTCAACACAATTTCAGAAAGCACCATTTGTACAGTACATCTATCGGAAGCAATCAGATGGACCTGTCAAGCTTTTAATAAAAGGAGCAAGCACAATTATCTCATCGACGGCAAACTGCGCTCTGCAGTCAACCCAACTCGGGGCCATGTTTACTTTTGGAAAAAATGACCTTGTATTTGTCAATGTGACAGATCCAGCCCGCGTCAACTACAGCCCCGAATTTACGTACTTTGGTATGTTTAAGCTGGGAGACACATCCTGATCTCTACACCAAAGCTAACAGTGATGTAAATATATTTTATTATACAAACACGTTCATTATTTGAAAAAAATATGTTACCAGGAATGACTGTGCTGGTACACATAACGAATGGCACTAGGGTCTAATAGCTCCTTGTGCTGTTAATCAATCCACAAAATTTGAATGAGTGAAAAAAAAGCAATGTAAACGTATACAAAATGCATATGTCAATTGGTTACAAAAGCAAAATGTTTTTTCACCTATCTCTGAAATGTAAATTGATATTCTAGTTTTAAACCAAACTATACAAAAAGCTTTGGTAGATTTTTTTTGAAAGGCTCAGCTCATCTATATTAATTACTAAATAGAAAATATCTCTTTTTTGTAAAGGTTCTCAATTGATCAAGGTTATGGCGTAGCTAAGCAATAGCTCGTAATATTCAGCTGGACTTGTTCTTAAATGTAAAAATGTTGCTACCCTACCAAGTACAGCTTCCTCAGTTCATGTTTCCTGACACTCATTTAAGCCAAGCAAGCTACATGGATAACTGGCAAAGCATCTTCAGAACAAGTGTATTTGAATGCAACTTGCTACTAATTTCTCTCTCTTGAATATGCTGTAACTATTTCAGATAGGGAGAGAGCAATATGAATGAAACTCCTAAAACGTCCTACAATCCACCCAAAATCATGTTGATATCACAGAATGGCAGCTTAACCAAAACATTGTAATTTCTTCAAGTGCTTCAGCTTCTTGCTGTGCAGTGAGAATAGATATTTTGTGAGGATAGTCCAGTATGGGAATACAGATGATCTTCTGTGATACAGATACATCAATAATAGACAATTAGCCTATAAATACCCATATCTTCTGAGTAGAGAGACAGGTACTATTGAAATCAATCTTCATCAGAAAAAAGTAGATTATATAAATGTAAATCAATGTCTAAAAATATAGTTGCTTGGTGCTCTTATCGTTTTACGTTACATTTTGTGGCCTTATGACTGCCTCAAATATAAACTAAAACACAGAATAGAAAATAAAAGTGTTCCATAAAAGCTGGCCCTAATGTCATCCTTGCATTGTTTATTCCCACATAAGTAATAATAGGTTCATTCCAAATTTCACTTAGTGAAAGTTATACCTGATATGCATTTTTTAATGCCCGTAAATCATGAACCATCAATCGGATCATTCGTCAGTAGAGAACTATCATCCTTTTGGCTGTCAGGTTTATAGTATATTGCATCATGATTAGTGTAAAACAAGACAAAGCTTATAGCTGTTACATATTCATCTTCTTGTTCAATACATGAAATATTCTTAAAGTATCACTAATAATCTTCCATCATAGCAGTAGTGGAATCTTGTACCGTAATGGCCATTGAATATTGTAGAATGTTTAGATTTTAAAGCTGAACTCTGGGATAAGAAAATATTGCCTAAATACAGGATACATGTGTATTCTTACTTGAATCTTGGTCTTGTTTGTGTTTCTTCCAGATTTGTGCGGTGCAGTGAAACTTTGCCTTGGTGCAGGAGTTTCCTGTAATAAAGACTGGTCACTGCTGCTCTCTTTCCTTGTGCAGGGTGACTGGTTTTGTATCTGCGCCTCTTGTAGTTTTCTGCAGGCAGCCTGTAGTTGGTGGGACTTGCTGGGTCCCCCCCACAGCTCAGCTCTCTTCAAATGCTTTGTGCAGCAGAGTGATGATGTCACCCCTACTTTGCCACTTATGTCGCATTGGGGAGATTTCCCTCGCACTGTCCCATAGCCACAATGGAAAATGAGAGGAAATCCCTCCAAGTGAGGCAAGTCGCTGGTTATCACCAGGGTCACCAATGAGTGTCCTCACTGGGAGATTTCCACCCTATATTCATGTCCTGATGACAATTAAAAATTTAGGATATTCTTTTACTTTCACTCTCGGTGATAATGGTCACCAGAACAAATACAGGGGCTGAATATCACTGGAAGGGACACAGACCGCAAAAAAGACCCAAGATAATCTGCAATTGAAGGCATCAACTAAAAATTAATCGTCCAGATATATATTTAGTTGAAGTTGAAAAAAAACAAAAACATGTATCACAAAGACAAAGTGTTTTGGGGGACAGAGAGAGCTCCCTTAACCACCGCCTGAATGGTGGTACCTTCAAGTAAAGATGAGAAGGAAATGTGTGTTTTTCTTACCAGTTTGTTAGCTTGTTTTAGAACAGGGCTACTTAAACCAGCTGCAAACAGAACTGCCTGGTCAAAAAAACACAGTTTGTTCTAATTTTTATTTTATTTTAAGTCCAATAGTTACTACCTCTCTTCTAGTCCTGATAAAACCCCCAATATGCACTGGCTTTGTGGTCAATGTCTCTTTTCAGCTTGAAATAAATCTGTATCAGGACAATACATTTTTGGTGTTATCCCAGTTACAAACCAATAGAATCCTTCAGTGAAGAGGAGCTGTCAAGCCCAAGCATCCAAATATCTTGATCAATTAACTCTTTATCCTCCATAACAATAGAATAAATTAGTAAGGTTATCCTACCAAATAAGGTCCCAGTGCTATGCCATCCAAACAACATGTTTGACTTATAAAAAGCTGACAGGTGTTTGAATCCCTCTCCACTCTATATGAAACAAAAAAAAGGTTGGGGTTCGGCTTCGTTCTAGGTCACGGTAATACCGCTTACTGGTTAACTTAAGTTATTAAAGATGCACAGCTTGTAGGACCCTTTAGGTTCCTTCCTTAGGCTATATACAATTCTGAGAAAGGTTATGAAACCCACATATTTATACACAGGGTTACAAAGAGAAGCAATGAAGAAAACTTTATTAAAACAAAAACTATTATAAAGACCGAAGTGCATCTTTAAAACTTGCATCTTTAATAACTTAAGTTAGACAATAAAGAGAATCACCTAAACTCCAAATTATCTTCACTAGTTAATCCTAAATATTGTGTGGCAGAATGACAAATACAGGATAATCAAACATGCAGATTATTCAAATTCATACAATTTCTGTATCTTTCAGCAAATTTCCCCAAATTTCAAGGACCTGGGGCACCAGTGTTTCTAACACAGAGGGTGAGTGTGTGTGGTCTGTTTAATGGCGGAGGCACTGATTTAATGCCTCAACCTGGGCAGTTAATCAGTGATTCTATGCACAAACAGATCTTGCACCTGCACTGCAGCTCATTTCCAGAAAAATGTACCTGCTAAAAAGTAACTGTTTTGTAGATTAGCCTATAATTTGAAGGGCTGCTGGGGTGGAAGAGACAGCTAATGTGGCCCATGTCTCTTGAAAAACCTTAAAGGCAAAATGTTTGTTTGTCTGCCATGGGTGTTATTTACCCACCACTAAAGATTAGCAAATTCCATTCTATTGAAGGATTATGGGGCATATATTAGGTATGAAGGACTACAAAAGATGACCTCAGGTCGGACCAGGTTAATCTCAGCACCGCAACATATATGAGGATTAGGATACCCATGCTAGAAAGGGTGCATGCACTGTCAATTCTGTTAGAATCTATTTCTTAATGATGCCTACATGTGTTCTATGTTTTCTGGGTTACTGCATCCTTCTACAAAAGGCCTTGTCTGCATTTTGCTCTTCCTAGAACTAGCAGATCACTTAGTCACTAGTCAAACGTTCTCACTTCTTCGCAATGTCAGTACCTTATCATCACTCTCCAAATGTATCATCATTCTTTTTTCACACACCTAGACCTCCAAAATCTTGTTTCTGATATGAATTGTCTTAGCCGTTGTTCCTTACCACATGTAATTTGTCTGTTACATTTGTAGAAGCACTGTTTTGTTTTTTACTAAAAGAATGCTAACTTTAAGGGCCCATTTACACTTAACATGCATTCTGGCACACATTAATGTGCATTGTGTTCACGCACCGTGAAGGATGAAAAACAATCCCTGATACTTTTTTAACAATGCAGCACACAACACACGATATATACATTGTGTTGTGCTGAGGTACATTATGTACTGGGTTTTACTGGGATCACAATGAATGGCACCACAATGCACCGCACAAAGAGCAAGTGCATTGTGGCAGTGGGCGTTTCAGCACACGTATGTTGCCACAACACACAAGTGTAAATGAGCCCTACCATACATCTATAAAGGTACAAGAGAATTTACAGTTACTGATATACTAGGTCTTGGAAAAGTCACCCATTTCTATTTGGCAATAGCCTGAGAAAAGGCTTATCATAGCAGCACTGCAGAGAAAAAAGTCCCCAAAGTTTACCTTCTTAGTACTTTAGTTTTTCATTCAGGCATTGCTGTAGTGCATCAATCCACCTTGCTCCTGATGTTGGCAATAAGGTGGTCTTCGAACACAGCTTGTGACATGTAAACAGAATTAACACACAACTGCATTTTTTGATGGGCAGTATTAGTAGCCCACTGATGGGTTTCATTTGTTGCAGGTAATTACATTTTAGTTACAGCACTACAATTACCAGATGCTAGATGATGGACTGACAGGGGTTTTCAGGATTCCCTACTCTATCTTAAAGGAAAAAAAATAATTTTGGTTACTTATGCACTTTAAGTTAACAGCTGGTTTCTTATAGCGTTTGGTGACTCCATTGGAAAGATCCTCACACTGTAGATCCCAACTTTGCTCACACTTATCTTGGCATCTCACTCATTCTGCTCCTTTCCATTCTTCCTGTTGCATCATCCATAATATAAAAAAAATATCCAGCAGTGGATTGACACAGCAGCTGTGCGGTATTGGGAAATAAAGTGTAAAGTTCACAAAATAAATCACATAGATATAAATGAATCTATGAGACATTCAAAATTGAGAGATTCAAAACTGTAAAAAAAACAAACAAACATGACCTGGCCATCCAACAGCTACCAAAAGCATGATCATTTTTGGGTGGACTAACGTCTAGCAAATGGAGCAAATCTTTATTTTGTGGCTACCGATTCACATAAGCATGTAAATATAATTTCTGTTTTGTGTATTGTATATATAGATATTTATAACAAA